CCGCCGATCAGATTTATCAACGGCAGGCTCGGCCTCCTGAAAGTTCGGGTGCTGGCCACGACTTGTCGAAAATAGGCTCGGAGGTACTGGTGGTTTAACACAGAGGCTCCTTCTATTCTCGCTTAAGAGGAAGTCGAAACTTCCGTCTCGTCGAACTTCTCGTTTCGTCGAAACCTCCTCTCTTATCTGAACTGTATACTCAGGTTGTCAGAAGCTGACGTCAGATTTCTGGCACTATAGTGGACTGCTTCCTGAACGAGACTTTAAGAACATTTGCTGATGGACAAGCTATTGGTACCCCTACTGCCCCCTTTATTTATGGTGAGTCCTAATTTGCTTTGGAAGAATGCCTTGACCCTTTCCAGTGGGTGTCTCGGATGATGCAGGTAGGTCCCTGCACGGTTCAAGATTGCCTACGGCGGTTCACTTCACCAGAGCACATACTGAATGTTGTCTGTGCGAAATGCTCTCACCTGTTGACTGCTCGAACAATCTCTCCATCCGCATATTTTGCGGGGCAAGGCTTCGCGACTCCACATTGCACTCCGGCAATTGGTTCTGATGTACAGGTAGGAGGCACATTTCTCTCTCGCTTTTACCCTTTCTGTCCTTTCTTTAGAATGTTTTCTCCCTTTGAGAGCATTTTCACGGCTTCAGTGTACTGTGGTGCATCATTGCAATGCGACCCTTTTCCTCTTTTCTGTCCAACGTTCCAAGTTTGTCTCACTGCATAATGACAATTGCGTTGGATGCCAGGTCACTCGCAGTGAAGGATCGCCTTGTTACCTTTGTTTTGGGTGTAAAAGGGCCTTTACCCGATATAGGCCCTGTCTCTTATACACATCTAGATGTGTATAAGAGACAGTCACCGGACAGTCCGACATCACCGGACAGTCCGGGCCGGTCCAGACACTGGTCCGGAAGACAGTGTGGAAGTGTCTGGTGTCCGGGTCCGGGGTTACCATGAGTTTTCCACCTCTTAATCAACACGAAACATGCATGTATATAATGTATAATCCAGCAAATGTGCAGACTATACAGATACACAGCTGATCAATTTAATTTTGCACATCGGGCATAATTTTGACCCGCTGTTTCCATTCTATCTTTCTTCTTTTCATGTTTGTCTTTGGGTTCTCTTCAGGCACAAAGTCCAGCCATCTGAGCTGTTTTTTTTTTTTTTTTTCAAGAACATTAAACATTTCATATTAATAGATAGATTGAAAAAAGAGGCCGCCAGGGACCTCACAATTTGACCCCGGAGTTATCCTGCCAGCATTAGCCAGTGTTTTTTTTTTTTTTTTTTTTTTTTTTTAACC